CGGGCGAGCGCGCGGGCGGTGGCGGGGGCAAGCGCGCGGGCGGGGACGGCGAGCGCGCACGCGCGGCTGCGGCGGCAGGGCGGGGCACGACGAGGCGGGCTCGAGCGGCCGGGGCGAGGAGGCGGGGCATGGCCCGGCGGCGAGCGCGGCGGGCGGGGGCAAGGGCGCGGCGCGGTGTGGTGTGGAGGCAGGGTGCGCGCCGGCCAGCATGCCATAGCGGGGAACGGGCGGAGCCAGGGCGCAAGCTCGCGGGCGGGTGAGGCGCGTGACCAAGACGGGCAGTTTGTGGTTGGTTGGTGCGTTGGGCGCCTCTAACTATATCTGGACATGCATATCCGTTTTGCCATCTATTGCCACCCCAAAATGGACAGATTCCGGATCAAAGACGTCCGTTTGGGTTGTGCGGTTGAGTTGGCCTTACTTACGCTCTAAGCATATTCATATTCTACTCGGTGCGTTTCTTCCCGAGCTCCTCTTGATCCATCCCCGAAGCTCAGGCCATGTGCTCACTTTGAAGCTAGGACACGCACATCTGCCGCCCTCGAACAATGGTCGCGCGCACATGACAAGCCCCTCGTTGCGCTTTTTACACTGGGTTTCTTCGCAGAGATCAAACCTACCTACACCCTACTTGTCTAGAGAGGAGCAGTTTACTAATCCAAGACGTCGGTCGCGTGTCCCGGGCCGAAGACCATCGTCGTCGTGGATCCAGAATGGAATCGGGGAGGAAGGACGCATGGCTCAGACCGGCCTCGACTCGACGACCGCGTCCCTTGTTTTACCCGGGAGACCGGCGGTGGGGCGCCGCTGGTCCCGTCCAGCACCCGTGGGTGGCGCCTTTGAACTGTTCCCGCCGCGCCCACAGCACAGCGGCGCCCATTCCCCAGCCCATGCGAGCTCCACCGGTGAGGAGGGGGTCACCCCATCTCCATGTGCGCCCCTGCCCGAGATCGCCGAGATGTTGGCGCTGGTCGATGCTCAGTGACTCAGCGCTCTCCTGGCCGCCACCAACTCCTGCTCGGCGTACGCTTCCCCTTGGCAATGCGATGCCAGCAGTACAGTGCAGTGCACGGTACCTCACCCCACGGCGTGGACGACGCATGCATATTCTACCGTTCGCCGTGCTGCCAGCCAGGAAGTAGAGCGGTAGGTGAGCCATGAGCGCCTTCCTCCGTCGCACTCACGCATGGTCCATGCCATTGTGTCACCGATCGTCCGATCCTAGCTTGTCAATTACCTGTCGTGTCTAATCCAATCCACCAAAAATGCTCAAAAGTGAGGCACTTGAAAATGACGCGACCTATATGTCTACGCGCGCCGTTGTGCGATCTACTCTACCCGACAGCGTAAAATTCTCACTCGGAAAACGGACGGCCGCGACGCGGCTGACTCACCGGCGCTTGGAGCTATTCTCCTGGAGGAGAAGCCTTTCGCGACAGGGGCGGTCGCCTTTGTTTATATTGAGAAAAAGAGAGACGCTTTCGGAAAAGCTAGTGTGAAATGTCTATAGCAGTACTAGCCCGTCGCACGCGTAAAAGGGAGCTTGCGCGCGTGAAATTCATTCGAGATTTCGCAGCATTGTCTGGCACAGTCGCTGCCTGCTCGACGTGCAGCAACAGTGTGTCGTGGCCGCACATGGAAATTTACCGGATGCAGTGCACGAATGTCCGAAAAAAAAGAGATAGAAGTACGCGTAGTGAATATACTAGTGAGAAAAGTGGAGTTTTACTTGTTGACGGAAGAGGACGTCTGGAACCCTAAACAAAAGGATGTTTGAAAACGGAGAGGAAGCCAGGCAACGGCTCACGTCCGGTCCGGACCGCACGGACGAAGGCGTGAAGCTATCAACGAACAGCGATTCCGGGGAAATGACAGGGACCGACCGGGCTCAACGTCCGTCCGCCATGCCAACAACCCCGTATCTCAGGCTTTGCTCGCGAGATCGTCTGCGGCGATCATATCTGTTGCTTCAAATTCAAAAGCACCTGACGGACCTGAATCTGTCAAACATACCACTCCAATGTTACTCTGAACATCGGATCGCGAAACGGCCCACGTGACCGTCCTTGGGGTTCGTATCAAACATGATTCGCGGCACCAAAGTTTCGCTGCAGGATGGGCGACAATTCTCTCAATCATCTTTGGGCGGGGCCCATGTGAGATGGGGGGCACGTAAATGGCTAGCAAGAGCTCCGATGGGGTAGGGCGTAGGCGAGAAAGTGAAACGAACAGCACGCTCGGGTAGCGGGGCCACAGCGGAGACCCAGCCCCAGTGGGGGCGCACCCCATGGGTGATGGATCTCACAGACACAGAGGATCCGACGCACCGGCCCGTCGAGCTGTCCACCACATCTATCCCCCCCGGTGGGGCCCCACGTTGGCCGCCCGCCTCGCAACGGGCCACGCCTCCCACTACGCCAGCGCCTTCCCACGCCGTGCGGGGCGCCTCCAACGTCACTGACACGGCGGCCACGGGCCGCGCTGCTGACCTACACGTCGGTGACGTAGCCCCTTTTATCGTGCGGGCTGCGGGCCGTCACGCTTTACCTACCCCTTTTTGTTAGATACGGATATACGCCGGCCACCGGATGCGGATCTGACGGCCGGGATTCGTTCCGAGGCGCTACAGATCCCGCTCTACCCTGCCCTGGCCTGCGCACACACGCTCCCCTCCGTTGCGCTCCCACGGCACCACCCCACCACCAACTGCTCGACGGAATGCCACACTAGCCCCCACTCCACTCGCCACTCCCCCCCACGCCGCCGCAGAGCGACGAGATGAAGGGAGCAATGCAGCCGCGGCCGTTCATGATGCACGGGCCGGGGGGCCCGATGGCGCCGCCGCAGCAGCAGTTCGGGCTGACGGAGACGCGCCCGCCGCTGGCCGCCATGCTGCGGCCCCGCTTCAACATCCCGGGCCTCAACCCCTCCGCCGCCGCCGCCAGCGCCGCCGGCAAGATCTCCTCCACCTACGACCTCGTCGAGCCGATGCGCTTCCTCTACGTGCACGTCGTCAAGGCGCGGGACCTCCCCGCCGTCTCCCCCACCGGCTCCATCGACCCCTTCGTCGAGGTCAAGCTCGGCAACTTCAAGGGCACCACCGCCGTCCTCGCCGGCCACCACAGCCCCTCCTGGCACCAGGTCTTCGCCTTCTCCGCCACGCACCTCCAGTCGCATCTGCTCGAGGTCGCCGTCAAGGCCAAGGATCTCGCCGGCGGCGACGACATGGTCGGCCGCATAGGGTTCGACCTCTCCGAGGTGCCCGTCCGCGTGCCGCCGGACTCCCCGCTGGCGCCCCAGTGGTACAGGCTCGACGGCAAGCGCGGGGAGAAGCTCCACCACGGCGAGATCATGCTGTCCGTCTGGCTCGGGACCCAGGCCGACGAGGCCTTCCCGGAGGCCTGGCATTCCGACGCGCACGGGGCGGCTGGCCCGTCGGCCGTCGCCTCCACGCGCGCCAAGGTATACTTCTCGCCCAAGCTCGTGTACCTCCGCGTCGCCGCCATCGGGGCGCAGGACCTCGTGCCCCACGACACGTCGCGCCCCATGAACGCCTCCGTCAAGCTGCAGCTGGCCGGGCAGGTGCGGCGCACGCGCCCGGGCGGGCCGCCGGGTTCGCCCAACCCGATGTGGAACGAGGAGTTCATGTTTGTCGCGTCGGAGCCGTTCGACGAGCCCCTGCTCGTCACCGTGGAGGACCGCGTCGGGCCGGGCCGCGACGAGCCGCTCGGGCGCATTATGCTGCCCCTCAACGCCGCAATGCCGCGCCATGACCACTTCGGCAAGCCCGTGGAGCCGCGCTGGTACAGCCTTGCGCGCCCCAGCGACGACGGCGAGAAGAAGGAGGGCAAGTTCGCGAGCAAGATACAGCTTCGGATGTCGCTGGACTTTGGGTACCATGTTCTTGACGAGTCGACCTACTACAGCAGTGATCTCCAGCCATCATCAAAGCACACCCGGAAGCCGAGCATTGGGATCCTTGAGGTGGGTGTTCTTGGTGCACGCAACTTGATACCAATGAAGGCCAAGGATGGTCGCAGCACCGACGCCTACTGCGTTGCCAAGTATGGTCCGAAATGGGTGCGCACAAGAACCATCATGAACACGCTGAATCCCCAGTGGAATGAGCAGTATACCTGGGAGGTGTTTGATCCATGCACCGTGATCACGGTGGTGGTGTTTGACAATAGCCAGATTGGGAGCAAGAGTGGTGATGCCCGGGATGAAAGCATTGGCAAGGTCAGAATTCGTCTCTCGACACTGGAGACTGACCGGGTGTACACCCATTTCTATCCTTTGCTTGCTCTTAAGCCAAGTGGCCTCAAGAAGACCGGTGAGCTGCATTTGGCCGTGCGGTTTACATGCACGGCATGGGTGAACATGATGGCAATGTATGGCCGTCCGCTGCTGCCGAAGATGCACTACTCACAACCAATATCAGTGATGCAATTGGACTACCTGAGGCACCAGGCGATGCAGATTGTTTCGGCAAGGCTTAGCCGTGCTGAGCCACCACTGCGCAGGGAGGTGGTCGAGTACACGCTCGATGTGGGCTCGCACATGTTTAGCCTCCGGCGCAGCAAGGCCAACTTCTATCGCATCACCTCTCTGTTCTGTGGCTTTGCCTCAATGGCCAAGTGGTATGATGGCATCAGGAGCTGGCGAAACCCGATCACAACAATGCTGGTGCACATGTTGTTCCTGATACTGATCTGCTACCCGGAGCTCATCCTGCCTACCATCTTCCTCTACATGTTTATGATCGGACTGTGGAACTATCGCTTCCGGTCAAGGCACCCACCACACATGGATACCAAGCTATCGCAGGCTGAGTTCACACACCCTGATGAGCTTGATGAGGAGTTTGACACATTCCCATCCAACAGGCCAGCTGACATTGTAAGGTTGCGCTACGACAGGCTGAGGAGTGTTGGAGGTCGTGTGCAGACGGTGGTCGGGGACCTGGCGACGCAAGGTGAGAGAGCCCATGCGTTGCTGAGCTGGAGGGACCCCCGTGCCACCGCCATCTTCATATTCTTGTCCCTGGTGGTGGCCATTGTGCTGTATGTGACGCCGTTCCAGGTTTTGCTGGTCATCACCATGCTCTACTTGCTGCGCCATCCCCGGTTCCGCAGCAGGATGCCCTCTGTCCCGTTCAACTTCTACAGAAGATTGCCTGCCAAGTCCGATTCGCTTATTTGAAGATAAAATGAGGGAAGCTTGTAACATTGCCCCCCTCTCTCGTTCTGTTCCTTCTGGTTAGCATCAGATCAGATGTGAATATACTTAATGAGTTGATTAATTTAGAGCCAGGCAGCTGGTGGCCCTGTAATAAGGTGTCGGTTTATATGTTGGTCTGCTTAGCTAGGCAGAAAACGAAGGGAATGGCCGGGGGATCCCTTCGTAGTTTTGGATGGAAAATGTTGGCTTTGGGGTTTCTGGTGTAGAGCTGGGCACAAGTTGAGTTCCAGAATGTTATGTTTATGTATTGGTGCCAGTTTTGTTTATGTTCTGTTAATTCCGTTCCGTTGATCTTTTGTATCTATTATGTGCTGTTCCTTCCCTTTTGTCCAGAAATCTATCTAAACTATTTGCTCTGAGGCGCTCACCCTTTTTCCAGAGGTCACGCTGTGGTAGTTTCATTGTGGCGTTGTTGTAGCATGGCTGGTGGAATACTATGTTGGTAAAGTTCATCATCTTAAGAGCCTGCGAATTTGCACCAGTTGATCAGTTGTTGAATGTGTAGTGATCTAGTGTGATCTGGTGTCAGTTACTCCGTGGTTCAGTGCAGAATTGTTGTAGCCCTTACCCAACTTTTCTCTTTGTCGTAGCGGTTGAACAGCTACTGAATGTGCGCTAATCCAGCGTGATCTCGTATAAGTTACTCCGTGGTTCAGTGCTGAATTGTCGTAGGGGTTTATCAGCTACTGAATGTGCACTAATCCAGCGTGATCTGGTGCCAGTTACTCCGTGGTTGGGTGCAGAAAAGAAGCAGCGGTTTCCGTCTTGTACGTGAGCAGTTCCCGTGCGCTGATCCGCACTGAGAGAACAGTTAGAAAGGTTGTGGTTGTACCCACGCTTTTGACCCCGGTACCACGGTGTGTTTTCTAACCAAACAAGATAAAACCATGCGATCCTTTCCTTGTCGGCAACAAAAAGATAAACGGCTTGGGACCGTATGCGGGAATACTGGACTAGACAGGCAGGTGTGAATGCAGGACGGCTAGGGCACAATAAAACAGATATGGAACGGCGTCGTCTGGCATCGAAGGGAGACATCGCCATGTTTCATGGCAACTCTTTAAATTTGTTGTGCTGGTGGTGCCATGATTAGTGTGACATGCGTGCCTGGCTACACATGGCTGGAGATGCATGTCGAAGCAATGCTCCTAGGAGTGTTCAATCCACTGTTTGCTAAAGGCGTCTTTGATTGTAGCACAAAAGGGCGAACAAGAAAACGTGGAGGTTGAATGTTAAGCCAATGTTGAATTCTATACATGGATTTTAAGGCATATGAAATGTTAAAAGGTTCTTTAATTGCAGCACAAGGAAAGAAGAGTAAATTCCAGTTTTTGCCCCCTCAAATAGTTTTCTTTTGTGGGGCCTCAAAATAGCATTTTTGACATGAAGTACTATATTTAAGGATTTTCTTCTGTTTTACCCCATTTAATGAATTTGAACAATTGTAGACGTCCATTGCATTTGAACGAGTGGTCTAGATTAGGCATGGCGGTCTATTACCACATATCCACTCAGTGGGCATATCGTAGGCCTACAGCTCAGAAACAACGAGGCAAATGTCAGCAGTTTGCATTGCGTTCTGAGAAATAAAACGATGGATAGATAGGGATAGGAGGGGCTCGTGACAAGGTGTTTTACGGCGGAACCGAGCTGGCTGCAGATCAACCGCAAGATTAGCTAGAAATCAAATCAAGCTAAAAATCAAGAGAGAGAGAGAGAGAGAGAGAGCTTCATTGCTGTTAGCAACTACATCAATCATTGAGTGTGGTAGGCAAGTCACCTATGTTTCTAGGGTTCTCAAATATCCTTTGACGGCTACCACCACCTTAGTTCAAAAACCATCGTTTCATCGTTCTTGATAGGTCTTGGCAGGGCGCAAGTGCATTGATCCTTTCCTGTAGACCACAAGAAGTCACTGCATGGAAGATCCGACGTCAAATAGGGCTACGACGGATGGATCTTACGTGGGAGGCGATGGCGGCGGTAAACGAATCACACTTCTTAAACCATCAGTTGAAGCTAGATTTGAAGGGTTGGATCTACATGGGAAACAAGAATTCGATCTATATTTGTCAGAGTTGGAAGGCTTGATCATAGATGTGTGTTGGCCACTTGGCTCGGACTGTTTAGGGTTCATACATCCAAGCCATTATGTGGCACCCCGGCTCTGCGATCTGGATGTGCCCTACATACTAGCCCAAGAATCCGTCCTCCGGTATACAATGCTAGTTGGCATCAAGCACAACCACAATATATTACAACACATAGGTACATATGTCTTTACGATACATCACTTGGAGAGGCAAAAAGGCACTATACATGCGGCGGTAATATGTACATTATTTATCTAAAGGCCCCGGAGTCTAGCAACGAAATGACAACGGTGGTGGGGCTCCATCCCAAAGGGACCCTTGGTACGACATGATCCTAGCGCTCATGCATGATCGTTCTCGGAATACTCACAATCAACATCTCCAACATCTGGCATATAAGTCAGGTGAGTACATTGAATGTAATCTCAAGCTCACGACAAACAATAACATGCAACACGGCAAATACGTACCACACATGCATAGACATGTATCAATGATGCATCTTGGTCAAGTTTTATGTTAGCACAATGACCGTTGATTAGAACCTTGCATAAAACCAACAAATGAATTGGTAGCCACCAAGCTCTGGGGTGTCAACGTAATGAATGAACAGCTGCCAAAGATGATTGACCACAAGATGGTTGGTCAGAGCACGACATGGAGCATGAGAGCGGTGTGGATAAGAAGAAGCTGCCCAAGATGACCGGAAAAGCAGCACACAGGATGGGAGCGGTGCTACAAAGAGAAACTAACAGGTGCATGAGATGGCCGAGAAGCAGCACAGAACACGGGAACAATACTATTGCTACCACCATCTTACGCAAAATTACCACCTGGCTTTGTGCAACCTTACCATCTTGGCCTCTTGGTCATTACAACTTACCACATGGTTGTGTCCATGACCTTGGTCATGTCCACACTTGGTCACCACGACCACTTATCAACCTTTAGTCACCTCGTGACCCATATCTTATCACCAGATCACATTCGCGATCCACACAAATCTTTGAGCCTAACCACCATGAAAACTTCATGTATATTAATCATTGGCATTGACGGCCGGTGTGACCTAGTATGAACTGTGTCCATTACCCTGGACTCGACTATTCGAATTGATTTATACACTCTGAAAACTACCCATACCGTGTCACCGACATATCCCTTGGGGTAATGCTCAGGAGGAGGAATCCCGGGCCTCATTGTCTACGAAAGGCTCTACCACTTATGTGGTCTCATATTTCCCCCTCTTGGGATTACTTTATTTATAACTTGTGAAGCATACCATTCCCAGGTTCTCAGAATTAGACGTCGGTTACAGGGCTAGGTTAGCATACATGTCTAATTCTTCCTAAGATGGTGACACCACTAAGAGCAATGTATAGACTAAGTTAAGTCATTCCCACATTAGGAAAATGTGGTTGCACATGTGGAAGGTTTGACTCGATGGCACCATAATTAGACGAAGCCAGTGAAGGGTTAGTTTAACAAGTTCTTCTTTATTGAATGTATGCTTGATCTGAGTCATGTTTATTATTGAATTCCATAACGAGTGAAACTACACAACCATATTGAAGCAACCACATTCATGTAATCAGACAAATGCTTATGCGGTGAATTTTTTATTAACATTATTGATGTCATCATGCATTCATGCTACTACCAAGGAAAAATATTCATCAGGAACATATACATGCACATATAGTTCATAGTAGCATAATGAACTAAATACAATATGCTCTAAAATATATATGTATGGACTATGACTTCAACAAGTCAGCAAGCAATGGTAGTGTGGCTTGCCTTGGTGAAGGTAACAGTTAAGGTACTTTAGATATTCACCATCAAGCTCTTCTTCCTCTGAAAATATATATTTGAAAATAATTTATAAATATAACATAAATCCAAAGCTATTGTGGGTCCTAGCTAAACAGAACGACAAATAGCAATAACATATTTTCTGTAAGACAATTTCATAAGAAAATACTACAAAAAAGGAACAGGCCATTTGGACCTGTAGTTTGGAAGTTATGAGTGGGCAAAGTTTGGTCGAAGATGAATTTAAATTGAATTTATCTGATTAACCAAAAAATACTAGAGCAGGCCACGTCAAAGAATACGCCTCCTCTGCGTACCGCTTTGGGTGCGGGACCCACTCAACTACAGAGGCCTATAGTGGGAGGGGAGGTGGAGTGAGTGTGCGTGTGCGCTAAACTGTGCCTGAGCGTACCACGCTAATTCTGCGCTCCGGCCGAAACTGCGCACCCAACCAAGTAACCAACGTGCGCACACCTGGTGCCTTGGTCTCCCACTTGATCGTAAATTCATAGGCAACTAGTAGTAAAGCATGGTAACCTTTTTACTACACAAGCCTAGTCACAAAGTCTATGGTAAGATCCCATGTGAAATGTAGCAACACATGTTAACCTATTTACTATAAGTTCCCAGGGAATCAATCGGTAGTAAACCTATAGTAATACTATAGATGCACATTTGTACTACAGATGTCTTGTCATGAAGTTTGCCGTAACACCCCATGAAACATTTAGTAACACATGTTAACCACCTTACTACACATTCCCGGGAAAATAATCGGAAGTATAACACGTGGTACAATTAGTAATCTCTTTACTATACACTCAAAAAAAGTAATATGTTTACTATAGATGCATGGACATTGTTAATAAAATCTCAGATAGCATGTAGTAAATACGTGACCTCTCTAGTAAAATTGATTTCAAAGTAATCATAATGTTACATGTACGCACAATGAGCAAATTATAACTAAGATCTAATTATTCAAAATATGTAATTGTTGATCGATTTTACCACATGCTAGAGCGATAGTAACAACAGTGCAATATATAGTAA